CTGGCCTGGGGCAGGGGCATGACCTTCTCACTGGGCTTGGTGAGAGGTCACACTGAGTCAAGGTCAAGGAAGCTGTTGAGTTCCCCTAGGAGCTAAGTGAACTGAAATAAACGAAAATAAGGATTAAGATAGGAAGACTCTTAGGGGAGAAATGGATTCTACATGCAAGCTGTACTTTCACGTCGCTAAATTACATATTTAACATTAAGACCTACTCAAATTTAATAATCTCAACTCTGCTTCTCACACCTATAAACCAGTTCATAATCCATGGCACTCTTTGCTATATTTTAAATCACAACTCAGTGATTCTCAATCCTGACTAACCCTCAAAATCTTCTAGAAAATAAGAACCACAAATGCCTATCCACTCCCCCTGCCCAACACTCTCCTTGACAGATGAACTCAGTACCACCCAGGAACCAGAAGATTTTAGAAGTTTCACTTGTGCTTCTATAGGCAGCCAAAGTAGAGACCCATTGTTCCAAAAGGAGCAGTGAGAGGCTTTTTACAACAATTTTAATTTAAATATAGACAGGAGTTAACATGGGGAATTTTATTAAAATGAAGAGCCTGATTTGGCAGGTCCAGCTGGGGCCTGAGATGTTGAACTGCTAACAACTTACCCCATAATGCTGATGCTATAGTCTACAAACCAATTGTTTATTTGTTTGACATAGGGTCTCACTATGAAGCTCAGACTGGCTTCAAACTCATGATCCTCCTGCCTCAATCTTCTGTGCTAGGATCACAAGTGTGTGTAACATACTTGGCTGAGTCCCCCCTTCTTTTTCTTGAGACAGGGATATTGCTATATTGCTCAAGATAGTTTTAAACGTGTAGGCTCCTGTGATTGCCCTGATTTAGCCTCTGAGTAGCTAGAGCTACAGGCATGCCTCTCTATACCTGGTAAATAAATTGAAATCCTAACCCCAAACATGATAGTATTAGGAGGTAGGGCCTTTGGGGGGTGATTCTGTCACTAATGGGGTCAGTCTCTTAGAACCCTGAGGGAACTCTGTTGCCTTTCCATCATGTGAGGATATAGTCAGAAGGTAGTTTATGAAAGTGAGCTCTTATCAGACACAAAAACTGCCATGTTCTGGGGCTTTCTGTGCCTCCAACCCTCCAAGAAATAAATTTCTATGTTAAGTGTAGGGAGAAATGAAGCCAAGATGACTGTACAGTGGTTCAGGCTGGGAGGGGTTACTTCTGGTGGACATTAAATCCAGGTCAGCAGAATGTCACACAGGTGCACCTTGATGTTCTCAGTATAAATCACCGGTGTAACTGGGGTTGATGCTGGTCAGTGTAAACAACTTATATAACCAAGGTTGTTACTAGATTGCAGCCGCTATTACTGATATACATAACCATACATAGAGCTGGACTACCATAAGGGCAGGTTGGCTAGGAGCCTCAGGACGCTGGGAGTGTGAGACTGTGTGATCACTGAGAATCGAGATATCTAACCAGTCCACTACTAATCTAATCTAGCTTTTTCTCTCTTCTTCGGGGAGTCTGAAACTCAAGTGAACCTTTATGGTCTAAATCGGTGGCAAAACAATAAGGCGCCTAATAAATGGTATTTTATTACAGCAAACCAAATGGATTAAGACAGTTACCTAATTCTTCAAAGTCAAGAAAATGCTGAAATTAGTGCCCTGAACATGGTGGTGTATGCCTGTGATCCCAGCACTCAGAAGGCTGAGGGAGGAGGAACACTGCGAGTTCAGGGCCAGCCTGAACATTAAATGTGGGAAGTAGAAAAGAAAGGCCAGGCTACTGTCTGGTTTTTGTTTTCGTTGGTTTGGTTTGGTTTTTTAGACAGGATCTTATTACATAGTTCAGGCTGGCCTTGAACTCATGGTGATCCCCCTCCCTCAGCCTTCTGAGTGCTGGGATCACAGGCATACACCACCATGTTCAGGGCACTAATTTCAGCATTTTCTTGACTTCAAATAATTCTTTTAATTAATTTTATTGAGAAATAACAATGAGACAGTTTCAAAACAGGTTAGTAGGACAGTTTTAATAATTAATACATTGCATATTTATAGTAGTTATTCATAGTACAAGATGCAGACTTGATATCTTGTCTAAACACTATTAGTACAAATCTTTCTTCTCATTGAACTAAGAGAAAG